CCCCAAAACCCCAAAACCCCAAAACCCCAAAACCCCAAAACCCCAAAACCCCACAGAAGTCTGATAATATTGGAAGTAATTATTCTTTTGCTTCTTCTTGAGTAGTATCAACATCTGGCTTCATGGCTGGGAAAAGCAAGACTTCCTTAATGGTGCAGTTGTCAGTTAAGAGCATGGTAAGTCTGTCAATACCCATTCCCCATCCACCGGTTGGTGGCAAGGCGTACTCCAAGGCCTTGACGAAGTCTTCATCAACACATTGAGCCTCATCGTCTCCTGCAGCTTTCTGAGCAGCTTGGTCTTGGAAGGCTTCTAACTGAACTTTTGGGTCGTTCAACTCAGTGTAAGCATTGAGAAGCTCGTGCTGGTTTACAAAAAGTTCAAATCTTTCAGTGAGACCTGGTTCAGATCTGTGGTACTTGGCAAGAGGACTCATAATTTGTGGGTGGTCGATAATAAAGGCAGGATTGTCACATTCAACTTCGATGAAGTCCCCAACAAGCTTATCAATCAATCTGGCAGTGGTGAGAGGTGCTTTACAAATTACACCTTTTTCAATTCACAGTTTCTTCAGCCACTCATTAGTCTCTGGAGAATTGAGATCTTTTGGAAATTCAACACCCAATCTCTCTTCTAATCCCTTGATCATCGGAATTCTCCTGAATGGAGGTGTGAAATCAATGGTGATCTTGCTGTCTGGTTCTTCTTTTCCCTTCTTGTGGTACTCAAGCAAGTAACTTCCAGTGATATCCTTGACCATAGAAGACAGCATATGCTCAGTAGTCTCCATCAAGTCATTGTAATCAGCATAGGCTTCATAGAACTCAATAGTAGTGAATTCTGGGTTATGAGTAGCATCAATACCTTCGTTTCTGAACTGCTTCCCGATCTCAAAGACTCTGTCAAGTCCTCCAACAATAAGCATCTTTAAGTAAAGTTCTGGTGCAACTCTCATGAAGAAGTCCTTTTTCATTTCATTATGGTGGGTAATAAATGGTTTGGCAGTAGCACCGCCTACATTCAAGCTCATCATTGGAGTTTCAACTTCAACGAAGTCTCTTTGGGTCAAGAAGTTTCTGATATAGTTGATGATCTTAGACCTAGCAACAAATGTCTTCTTGACTGGATCATTCATGATTAAATCTAAGTACCTCTGTCTATATCTAGTATCCTTGTTCATCTTAGAATTTGGATCTGTTGGATCTGGAAGAATGTGTAGACAGTAAGATAATCTTACAACACTGACTGGTCTGACGGTTAATTCTCCAGTCTTAGTTCTTCCAGGAACTCCAGTGATTCCTACAATATCTCCTCTTCTGATTGTGGAATGGATGGCAGTAAAAGCTTCGCTACTCTCAAAGAACTTTCTGTTTGCCATAATTTGGATCTTCTCTGAGTCTCCAGTGATGTCGTAGAAAACTAGATGCTTTCCGGATCCTCTGATAGTGACAACTCTTCCAGTGACACAAACCTGCTTATCGTCAATAAACTTGCCTTCTTCAGTGCATTCTTTAAACTCTTCAATGAACTGATCAATTCTATGAGTTCTCTGGAACTTATGTGGGTAAGGATTCTCACCCTCATCTCTCCTTGAGTTAAGCCAGTCTCTCCTGTTCTGAGTGTATTTACTAGGGTCTAAAGTCTCATCTCCACCAATAACAGGGGCTGCGTCACCTCCTTCTTCAGCTGCCTTTGCGGCTTTTTCTTCTTCAGCCTTCTTCTTTTTGGCGGCCTTCTCTGCTTTCTTGGCTTCTGCTTTCCTGACCTTGTTTCTTTTCTTAAGTTCACTCTTGGAGACCATTTCTCCGGTAACTTCGTCCTTTACAAGCTTTGGTGCTGCTTGTTCTGGTTTCTCAGAATCCATTTTTACTAAATATTAATTAATTAACACTACAAGAGATTTTTTAAATAGCCAATTCAAATAATTTATAGAGTGCTCAATTCCTAGCGGCCCGTCTGGGGTTTTGGGGTTTTGGGGTTTTGGGGTTTTGGGGTTTTGGGGTTTTGGGG